TCCAATTCTACCAGGGCATGGCGTATCAGTGTATTAAATCACCAAGATATAATGAACAAAAGGTTGTATTTTGGAATGCCCAAAGTTCTGTATGTGATTTTTTGGGGGCGGGGCAGAAATAAAGTATCCTAGAGATCTTGAGATATATCATTATGTACTATAGTGATTCTCCAAAATGAAACCCACCTTAACAAGAAGTATCAAAATTATTATCTTCATCATTCTCTCAATTTTTTTCTTTCCCTCCTTAGATCAACTATTCAATTTTGGAAACTCAATTTTAAATGTGCTAAGTGTGGCTATGAGGTATTATGAGGAAGTAAGTTTGTAAAAACTGGTTCTGAAGCTTACCCATTAGGTTCTGTGACTGAGAGATTTCCTGCAAAAAGGATGTACCAAACAGCACTTTCAACAGTGCAACCTATATAAACTATTACTTTCCAAGTCACGTTATGTAAGGATTATCCTTAAGAGCTAGTTTGTCATTTGAWTCTTGACTTAGAAGTTGATCAAAGTTTTGCCTTTCTGCCCTTTTGATTCAGTGTACATCATTTCCAAATTCATTTCACAAGTCTCTGTTACAGGTCAGCTTACCTAAAAATATTTGCAACACCAACAACTGTGATATCTTATAATTTGGGTATTATTTTCAGTAAGAAAACTGACTGTTAAATTACAACAGTGAAAGAAACAGCACTCATGTCCACTTTCAAATCATCTGTCAGAGTAAATTGCATGTCAATATGTGCTGCAGAATACTAAGCTGCAAAAGCCTAATACACTATTTGCTCTCCAGGCTCAGACTTACATTCACTTGTCACATGTTTCCCCAAGGTCCACTGAGGATCTAAAAGCGGGTCTTTATAGTTAACATTTTAGTAAGAGCTCCCTCCAAACTCCTATCAGGCTTTTCGTTTATAGCCACATAATCCCCTTCCTAAATCCATGCCATCCTCCCCACAACCTTAAAGCTGCATCAGACTCTTAGTGAGAGTAAACCCCTACCCAAACTCACTCGATCATCTATCTGGTCCTGACCAAAGACTAACATTTGGGAATCAAGACAGGGAAAAGGGCAGTCCCCATTTTAGTGGCACACATACAAAGTAACTCTGCTTTAAATTAGAAAAGAAATTAATGTCACAGAATGTTTCCCTAAAAAAGATATGTAATAAAGTAATAATATCAATAAAATAGCTATTACTAAAGCAAAGCTTTCATCAATAAGCTTCGAGAACTTTGAAGGAGGAGAATGGCTTCACGAAATGGTAGTCCAGGTTCCCACAGTGTGGACACTGCTGGACGTTGCTGTACTCAGAGAAGTACTGCATGCCAATCCGCACGTCGATCACTGGCTTCCCACAGTGCTTGCAGTTCAGGCGGGCCTGGGAGAAATAAATATTGTAAGCCATAACTTCTTCAGTTTTGCAACTCTTGTCAAAGTCATCTAAACCAACATACTGGGAAACAGATCAAGAGTTCAGTAAAGCATCTCCTCTATTAGCAAAACCAGGGTATATGAAGCCTAAGATATGTATTCAAATATACATCATCATCAATCAGAAAGATTTATAACTCACAATCTCTCTCTAGATGAGGCATTGCTAGTCCTTTCAAAAATTCTAAACTAGTACTGCCTAAACCACTTGATTAAAGTTTCCTTGACAATTGGGGCCACCTGTACCCTGAATTTTAAGAGAGGAGCTGCTGGGTGGTAAAGTGCTTGCTTTGCATGTGTGATTACCTGGGTTTGATTCCCCAGCACCACAAATACAAACAAACAAACAAAAAAAAAAAACACAAAAGAAGAATGGCTAAAGTGAACTTCCTCATTCAAACCTGCATAAAATTTCTTTGAAGATTCTGGGTTTATTTCAAAAATTCATAAACATTTTTCATTCTACTCCATAATACATTGTGTTTTCTTTGAAGGAAAAAAAATCACCAAAATATTTAAGCAAAATTGGCAATATAGGCAGAGAGTGTTTATCCCAAGGCTTCAGGAATCCACCAGCACAGTGTCTCTTCATTCATGCCWGGGCCTAAAGACTTTCAGCAATAGATCCAGGACTGAAGGAATTAAACAGAAATTATAAATAAACAGACCTAACTTCAGCTTCCTCCTAAAAATGTACTAACAATCTCAATTTGTCCTTAAAATACTACTGTGAGATAGGTATTATTATCTGAATTTAAGCTCATAAAACTGGGGCATTCAGTGATAAAGTATCATGCTCAAGACCACATAGTTAGAAAGCAGAAGAGCAACAATTTAGACAAGTGTAGCTTGCCCCAGAGCCCACACTCTTTGCCAGCACATGAACTCCCTTTCTGCAACCTGAGATAATCTCCCTTTTAAATATTTCTTCCTTCCCAACAACATTAAAAGTGAGATTCTGAGCAAACCTCTCTCCTTAACCTTGATTATCCTTTCTGATAAGCAACAGTTGCTTATTTTTGGATCCGATGTATTGGAAAACTCCTGTGGATTCCTTAATAGTGTCTAGCACCTTTATCTTCACAGTGAAAATTTTAATTGATTAAAAATAATAAAAACAGCAAACATGGTGTTATGGTTTGGATGCGAGGTGTTCCCCAAAAGCTCAAATGTGAGACAATGCAAGAAGATTCAGAGGAGAAATTATTGGGTTGTAAAAGTCTTAACCCAATGAGTGATTTAATCCCTGATAGGGATTAACTGAGTGGTAAATGTAGTATTAGGGTGTGGCTGGAGGAGGTGGGAATTGACGGTAGTTTGAGGTATATATATATTTTTTTTTTATCTAGCGAGTAGAGTCTCTCTCTGCCTCCAGATCACCATGTGAGCTGCTTCCCTCTGCCACAATCTTCCGCCATAATGTTCTGTCTCACCTCAAGCCCAGAGGAATGGAGCCTTCTATGGACTAAGACCACAGAAACCATAAGCACTCAAATAAACTTTTCCTCCATTTAATATTATTATGGTCAGATCTTTAGTCACAGCAGTGAAATGACTGACTAAAACATATGTTTTCCATTTCAATAGAAGGCCAGAAAACATAGGTCTGGGTTTAAATCTTTTTGTGGGGACTGAACCCAGGAGTGTTTTACCACTGAAATACATTACTAGCCTTTTTTTTTTTTTTTATTTTGAGACATAGTCTGGCTCAATTGCCCAGCTGGCCTCAAACTTACAACCCCTGCCTCAGCCTCCAGAGTCCATGGGACTACAAGTGCATGCTACAACACCTGACTGCGCTTAAATCATTTTAAAGAAGAAATACATAGTGTGTGTGGCAGAAATATATATATATATATAGTGTGTGGAATGATGCCACTTTGTTTTTTTTTTTCCTCCTCAATAAAGATACAGTAATAATCCCATAGTCCTTCAATGCTGTAATAGAAAGAAGACCAGAATGGGAATTACAGGTTTTAGTCATTGCTGTGACAAAATTTATGTTAACCTGGGTAAAACATTTAAATTTTTGAGGCATCCATTATAAGTGGAAAATCAGGAGGCTGGACAAGCTCTCCCAAGTGCCTTCCAATGCCAATATTCCATGAGTTAACAGTCCCAAACATTCTTTTACTTCCTTATTTTATTTAATGTAAAAGATAACCCTTGTGGTAGGTGTGCAGAGAAAGGAGCTACTTCCTTTGGTTTCTTTGATCTCAAGAACTGACATTTAGACACAACAACAATCACAAAATGCTACAGTGAATAACTAAAAAATTTTGACAACTCATTTCCAAGGCTAAGTTTTAAAATGGAAATATGGTCAATGTATTAGAATGGCATCGAATTAGTCAATCCTATTTGGAACTACAAGACCAGCTATAGATTTTAGGACTCTCACAAGCATATTTCTCCTCTGACAAATACTAAAATACAAAGTAGATCTGAAATACCACCTCTGTCAACTTTTCAATTCAATAGACAAAGGTTATTTTCTGAGAAAAAAAATAATAGTAAGGACATTCTCTTTATAAAAATCAAACTACAACACTAATAATAAAAACCCCTATAGTAACTAAGTACGTGGGTTATCAGTTATTTCTATTAAAAGCCAGGCCTGCAGACTGAAAAATAAAGAAAACTTTCTCCTCTACCCATAAATAGCAGGGAATTATATAACAAGTTCTTGAATCCCCAAGTGCTTGGAAATACACCAAGCTATTTCCAAAGATTTTTACCTCCTGTGTTTCTATGATCTTTTTTAGTAATATGTTTGCATGTTAATACTACTCTCTTTTCCTTATGACAGTTAAATTTCAGATGCTACTTTAGCCTCAAAAAGCACCTCTTCCTACCAGTGATTTAAGGATTGCAAATCTTTCATGTCAAACTCACACACCTTATGAGGTAGGCAATTCCTAAGTAACTAGAGCTAAGTCACAGAAAGGAAACAACAAAATTCTGTGAAAGACAGTGAAACTTTCATCTTCCTTTCAAATCACAACCTATTATTGTAAATTCAGTGTAAGCTAATTATAAAAAATAAGAGAAAACATAAGCATGAAAAAAGAAAACCACTACCCAGCTCATCTGAATCAACTAGCAGATCCCTTTTCCTGTTCATTCACAAAATGGAAGCACAGTATAGTGCCATTTTGTTACCTGTTGTTTTTTTTTCCTTTAACAGATGGGAAATACTCTACATATTAAAAATATAGCTATTCTACAATGTATCTTTTAATGACTTTGTAATATTCTATCACAATGTAATGTCTAAATCATCCATGCCAGACTCTGGGGGAGTTTCTGAATTTCTTCTTTATTTGCAGGAGCATCTTTTCCAAGGCCTACCACCTCCCTCAAAGTAACCAAAATGCAGGCAGCCTCTATCTCTGTTATATTCACTGATGGACAGAAGCTGAGCATCACCTATTACTCCCTGGGTGGAGTCCATACCAACCTGACAGCAGGGAGAAGCAGCCAGGATGTCGTAGGTGTACATGGTGCCCAGCTGGTGCCAGCTGCCATCCCACCGTGACTTACACTTGATGCAGATGATCTTGTGAACCCCTTCCAGGCAGTCCACACATACTGCGTACAGATGCATGAGTCTCCCTGTGCACAAAAGACACAAAGCTGAGAGTGGCCATCGTGAAAATCACATCTTATCGCCAAAGGGGATTTTAAAAAATGCTTTATCTACCAATTCCAAGTAAACATTTTATCATATGCATAAATATAAAAGCACAAAAGATATTTATCACACATCCCCAAGCTGCCCTTTAAAATTAATGATGAATTACTATTATCAATAGGTAAGCTACTTTAAACTCAAGCTTATTAAAAATAAATACTTGCTTCAAATTACTTTTCCAAAAAGTTCTGCCTGGTTACATAATTGATCCTCCCAAATTCATAAAAGTAAAGCCACATATGCTCCAAACCAGCCTGTATTCACAGAACTCTGCTCAGAATCTTACGTGTGGCACATGGAGAATGAACCAACTCTGGTCTTGTAATGAGCTCTCGCCACTATGAATCTCACCATAAAAAAAGTCAAGTCTGTCTTGGTACTGACAGCCCAGGATTATGCCACAGTCTACATTACTATGTTAATTATCCTTCTCTCCAAATTGCTCAGTCATCATCACATCTAATTTAGGAATCAGAATTATATCTTACTTATAAGTAGTTTGTTAAAAGTTCAACATCTTATTATTTACTGGGCTCTTAAAAATCACAACCTCATTCCTTTATTACTTATCAACATCTTAATGTTTATAAAGAAACAATATCATCCTAATTTATATGAAAGGGTTAGGATTCAAACAAGTGGGGAAGATTCAGAATGTCTAAAGATCTGCCTAGACAATATGTAACAGTAGCACTGCTATCTATTTAGGAACACGGAGCTTCACTGTGCCCAAAACCCCTTCACCAGAACACATACCCAAAGTGGTCTCTTATTCAGAATGTGATCACTGCCCCATGTTAGACTACAGGTTTTCACCATTGGTAGGGACCAAGCCACTTCTCATCCACTGGAAAGGCATGTAATGAACAGTCAGTCCTTAGAGGGAACCCTTTTGTTATAGTTGTTTACATGACTCTCTATTCTTGAGGGCAGGAACTGGGTCTTATTCATTCACATAGACTTGGTGTCCAGCACAATGTCTGGAGCATGGAAAACACTCCTCAAGTGTGGGGGTATATAGATGGGCATGCTATAATAGCCAAAGACATTATAACCTTGGGGCCCTCTGTGCCAAAAACAGGAAGGAGACCAAGAACTGCTTGCAATACAGCCCATCTCTGCTCTGGTACACTGAAATTAAGGTGGTCTCATCTGCCATGGCAACTCTGAGTGCCTGAAGGCAATGTTAAGGAGTCAGTTCTAGTATCCAGAGACCACTAGAAACACCTCATTTCCAGTCTCCCTCCCAGACCTACTCACTGCAATTCTCAAATATCCAATCCTACATGGGCCGTTGCTAGGGAAGGTGGGAGGAGAGGGGCACAGAAGTCAGGTGYTGATCAATAGCCATGATGATAAAGACAAATACTGTGAGCTCTACATGAATCATTTCATTGAACGCTTATAGTAACACTATCAAGTAGGTCCAACTGTTACTCCCACTTCAGACAGGAGGAACTGAAGCTTAGGGACCCTGAGTAGCTTGTTCAGGTTCACAAAGAAAATAAGTGGCAATATCTAGACTCAAATTCATGTCTGTCTCTTAACCTACAGGCAAACTCTTGGGAAAGCCTGGCCCAGACTGAGTTTCTGGATTTGATTTTAGTTTTATTACACACTGTCTAAAGTACAGAGAATTCTATGTTTCTAAGGATGAGATTGTTTGTGAGTTCAAGTAAAAAGCAGATTCAAAAATGACATGTGGTGTAAAGTGGTAAAGAAGGTCAATAAGATCTTCCTAATTAGACCCATATTAATAAATTATTAAAACCAAACAAAACATTTTCTCAGAGGAAGAATCAGAGCATGAGGGCACAGGTGGAGGTAGCAGTGGGGGAAGATCAGGGGTAGGGCAAGGGAATAACAATCTACAGGGTCCACCACTGAAAACAGCAAATTTTTCAGCAGCACATAATCAACTGTATACTATGGAATCCATTCCATAGCCTGGAATGCTGACTTCTTATTGCCGTTGAAAACACTTTAAGGAATATATGGTTGGGAACCCTGGTGGAAAAAATGAACTACACAAACCTGTTATAAGTAAGATCACCCATACAACTCTGAGATATACCACAAAAACACTGACACATGTCCAAGGTCTCATTTGTGACTTCTCTGGTAATGATTAGACACTCTGACCTTCAGATTATAAAATTAACAGTGAATTCTCAATACTTTTATAGTATATATCTAAAACATTCATTATCTATTTGTGTATGATTACATAGTTATGGGAATACAAATAACAGGGGCCTATCTAATTTTCACCTCTTTCTCCAACCACTCCCTAATACTTAATCTCAAGACTTGGTCTTGGGTTCTCTCATATCCTCTTTCTTTTCTTTCTCTTTTCTCCTTGTACTCAAGATTTAACCACCACTGTTATTAAAATAAGCTCCTGGTGTTAATCCCAATGCTATTGTATTTTGAACAGTGCTTGCTAGATATCTCCATGCAAAAGTCCCAACATACATTCAAATACAAATGCTTTCATCTTCTTTGCCTCCCAAATCAGGTCCTATTCCCAACTTCCTCTGCTCCTGTCTGGGACAGCACCACTTATCTGATCTAGAACCAAAGTGGCCAACAAAAACTCTTCATCCTCTATAGTCAAGGAGTCCCAAAATTYGCCATTTTCCTTTAAAATAATCTCTTGAAGATATTCCCTCCTTTTGATTCCCACTGTCACCATGCAGTAGGCTTTCATCATTCTGCATTTAGGCTACAAAAATAAAGTTAAAACTTTAAATTAAAATTTAAGTCTCTAGGGCCCAACCCTTTCAAATAACTTTGGGGGCATGTAATTGTGCGTTTTAAAAATTGTTCAAAATCGGGGCTGGAGTTGTGGCTCAGTGGTACAGTGCTTGCCTAGCATGTGTGAAGCACTGGGTTTGATCCTCAGCACCACGTAAAAATAAATAAAGATATTTCAAAAAATTGTTCAAAAATCTTTCAATTCATAAGAAACGTGGCCTTCTATCTATGCACTCTCATTCATCTTCATAAAGAATGGTTCAAATATATATGTATTTAGATGGACACAATAGCTTTATTTTGTTTATTTAGTTTCTTTATGTTGTACTGGGGATCAAACCCAGTGCTAGGCAAGCGCTCTACCACTGAGCCACAACCCCAGCCCAAGAATGGTTCAAATTTTAAAATGGAGAAACAAATGTGTTTCTACAACACTTCCTTCTAAAATTCCAGCAAACAGGATTTTAAAAAAGGAATAAAACACAAACTTCATCTTCCATGAAACAATGAAGTACCTACAATCTTAAACCAAAATATATGAGGCTGCAAAGTGGTTAAAGGAATAGGAAATAATTTAGCTCTGATACTGGAAAATAAACACTGAGAACAGGGGATAAGCTGCTGAAATGGGAAATGGCAAGGTGGGGAGCGCTGCAAATTACAAGCAACTAGAAAATTGCCTCTTTCCTCAAGAAGCAGAATGTTCTAATATCCTCAGAACCTGGGCTGGTCTCAGGACTTAGGCTGATGAACAGCATATGGGAGGAGTTTTGGAACTCAGCCTTAAGCTCAAGCCTCTGAAKAGTTCCTGAAGCTTCTACTTTCACCCCCTGGAAAGCTGTTCTCATAATGCCATGTGAATAAGTCCAAGCCCCAGTGGATGTAAATTAGTATAGCCACTACAGAAAACAGCACAGAGGTCTTTCAAAAAATTAAAATTTGTCACTGATTACATGGTGACAATAAAATATTTGATATTCTGTGTAAAAAAAACAATTAAAACTACAACTACCCATGTGATTCAACAATAGTAGTGGTACAGGTATATATCCAAAGGAAATGAAATTGGTATGTTAAAGAGTTACTATGCTCCCATGTTCACTGCAGCATAATTCACAACAGCCAAGATATAGAACCAACCAAGTGTCTATCAATGGATGATTCAATAAAGAAAATATCGTACATATACACAATGGAACGTTATTCAACCATATAAAGATGAAATCCTATAACTTGTGGCAACATGGATGAACTTGTCATGCTAAGTGAAATAAATCAGGCACAGAAAGGCAAATATCACGATTTTAGAGTAGAATCTTTTTAAAAAAAAGTTGAACTCATAGAAACACAGGGAGAATAGTGGCTACTCAAGACTGGGAAGGGGAGAAAAGTGGGAGAAAGAGATTGGCTAGTTGGTACAAAGTTAATTAGGAAGGAGTAAATTCTGGTATTCTATTGCACAGTAAGGTAACTAAAGTTAACAATATCAGAAGAAGATTTTGAATGTTCTCATCAACAAAGAAAGGCAAATGTACAAGGTGACAGATATCCTAAATAGCCTGATGTGATGATTATACAATGTATACATATATCAAAACATCATATTGCACCTCACAAATATGTATGAGTATGGTGTTATTATGTGTCAATTAAAAACAAAATAAAACTAGCCTAAGGGAAGATGAAGACTACATAGATCCTAAAAGAGCCATTCCAGCTGAGCCTCCTGAAGCATTTAGTCTGACAACTGCTAGATGTGTATGAAAGATTGTTCCAACCAACCCACCCATAGAATTGGGAAAAGTTCTTAAATCATAACTGCTTTTAAGCCATGAAGTTTTGGAGTGTTCTGCTTTAAAACAAAGGCTAAAAAAGAATTAAGTAAAATTCTCAAAATGAATGAGACTACTCCTTTTGAATTCAGCTCCCTTTTCTTGCTCAGAAATATAACATAAGAAATCGTTAAGAAAAAGAAATCGTATTCATGAATTAAGAACAGAAAGCTATTAAAAAGAGCTCTTAGGAATTAAAAGTATGAGAACAGAAAGTCAAGGAAATCTCCTAGAAAAAAGAATAAAGAGATAAATAAAAGGGCCATGAAGAATTCTCGATCAACCAAAAAGTAGGATGAATATAAGAGATCCAACATCTAATTAACAGGAGTTCTATAGTAGTWTTTTTTTAAAGTGAAAATGAGGAGAAAATTTATCAAAGAAATAATACAAGGTAAAATCCTTCCAAACTGAAGGTTTTGAATCAATAGCCCAAGAGAGTACACAGCATAATGAATGGAGTGGGTAGGGGAAGAGCAGATATCATGGTGAAATTAGAACACCAGGAATATAAGAAACCTGCAGGATGGGGTGAAGATAGAAGAAGAGACAAGAAAAAGAAATCAGACTTCCTAATACCAACACTGTAATACAGAAATACCTTTAAGAAGAAAATAAAAGAAATACTTTCAAAACTCTCAGGGGAAAATATTTTATAATTTAGATGACTATACCCGGTTAAATAGTAGTCAAGTGTGAAAACAGAATTGAAACAGACTTTTAAAGTCTCAAATCACGTATTCCCATGCTCTCTTACTTCAGAAACTTAGTCCTAATGATGTCTCCTAACAAACTGAAGGAATAAACCAAGAAAAAAGAAAATATGGGATCTAGAAAGCAAAATTTACACAGGAAAAGAAATGAAGGCTTTCCAAGGATAGCTGAAGTACAGCAGGTCCTAAGGGTACCAGGATAAATAGGAACAGGGAGATAAAAGGCTCTGTGAGGAACATTTTCTGAAGAAAAAAAAAACACAAAAATGTCTGTCAGGTATGTGGAAATGCTTTTGAAAGGTTTGTAAAGCTGCTGGAGAGAGAGAGCAACTAGCCAACATTATATAAAAAAAAAACCTAAGCAAATAAAAATATGAATTAACTCTAATGAAAACAAAAGGTATCTCTATAATAGGAAATATAGCCATATGCTTTGGCTCAACACTAAATATTTACAACTCACAGCAGCAAAAACATTAAGGATTTAACCAAGAATTGTGATATTTTCTCCTAAAAAGGGGGGATGTATACTCATCCACCATAAAAACTAACAGATAATATCTAAAACTGGAGAATGAAGATAACAGTATTTAAATTATGATGTTAAAAGCTTTTCAAAATCAGTTAAGATTTGAAATGCTTGTCTCTGGGGACTGAGACAGCAGGAGCTGGTGGGAAAAAGGCAGAGATATACTATTTTCACTGCAGGGCTTTTTAGCATACTTTTAAAGGTATGAACATGGTATATGTCATGCATCTCATCTTTATGGAGATTCAATCATTTTATAAAAATTAAAGAGATTTCACACTTGTACTATCCAACCCCATGTCATTCAATTTATGCTTCAAATTTGCCCAAGTTCTTGGATATCATCCACATAAACTTTCCCACTGTTCCCACCATCACCATCTGAGGTTTCTGCACTTTCCTTTTGATGCTAATAAGACAGTCTCATCTTTCACAATTTCAAAACTAATTCAACTAGTCTGAAAACATATTGGCCCATCCTGTTCCTTATTCCGCGTCCGCCCCCCCCCCGCCCCCCGCCCCCTGTTATGATCAAAGAAAATGTACAGCTTTCTGGACACATTAACACAGGATTCAAAAGAAACTATTTCATAGCCAGTGAGAATTATACAATTCCTTTCCTAAATTCCCTCCCAATTATGAAAAACTATACACCAGTAATCCTCTCTTCAAATTAAAGCAGAAAAAGAACATAAAATTACCCACCAGGCCAACTATACTTGGTACAGTGACATCAGAGTACAAAAATCACCATCACCTCACTGGGCGAAGCTGAAACATTCACATGTTACCTAGCACCTGACTAGAACAAAAATACAACATCAATTAAAATTAAGTCAAAACAGAGCAATTCCACCTTGTTAGCTTTTTTGAGTTTTAACAAACAGTAATCAGGCAAGGTGAATCAACACCTATACCTTGAAGGTGGCAAGGAACATCATATTCGATCTCATCATGTCTTGAGGGGCTTAAGAACAGAGTTCCATCCACCAGAGGGAACTGTTCGAAGACAGGGAGTGCCCGGTGGCACAGAGCACAGTTTACAACATTTCTGTGGCTGGCACTGAGGGCTGCAAGAATGAACTTCCGTAGATCCTCGCCCTGGCCCACTTGAGCATCATCTTCCATCCTTACATGAAAAGTGTTCAGCTTATGCCTGGGGATGTGAGTGAGGAGCTCAGAGAGGTCCAGCCGCCGTAGGAACTGTACAGGGGTATCAAAGTRTCCCCCCCTGTGAACAGATAACCCAGTTGGAGCATAATCGAAGTGGGCATTTCTGAAAACATGGCCCCCAGCCATGGCCTTTTTGTGARGCTCAAGATGGATGGCATTCTTTAAGAATTCCCCAAGGTATCTGGAGGAGCGGGGACCACTGAAGTGGGCAGGGGAAAGGATAGAKTAGCCAGTAGGTGGGGACTGGCCAGGGGAGCCACAAGGGGAACGGGCACCATAGGCTGTGGCACTGACGACCTTTTCCTGGGAGTTCTGCCGGTCCATGGAATGTCGTCGGGGGAGATCATGGTTCAGGCCTTTCTGAGACTTATTTGGGGGCCTGCATTTTTTGTCTCCTCCCCAGCCTCCCCTGGAGGCCTCCCTGTGTTCTTCTCTGACCCAGACTTCTTCTTTTTCTCGTCCTGCATCCGCTTCACCTGGTACCAGTCTGTGTCCTTCTTTAAGTGGCCCTGACCACAGTGACAGGAGCAGAATCGGAAGGCCAGGTCATAGCTCTTCTTGGTCCACATGTTCTGACSGCACTGCTTCTCATTCCAGCTGTGAGCCCGGCCAGTGCAGTTGAATTGTGCCAGGATCCCACTCATAGAAGCACCGCAGGTGCATCCAGGTGCTGTAAGGGCAGTGCTCATTGTTGCACACCACCTTCTGATAGTCATCCTTCTCCAGGTCCACTGGTCTCCCGAAGCTGCAGAGCAAGGGCGTGGCACATGGGGCTTCTGGAAGAGGAACCAAAAGAGAGACTCAGTGCACAGGACACCAGCAGACACCAATCCAGACAGCAAACCTATCATCCACTTCAGCCCATTCATGCCAGAGATATGCCACTACTGGAATAACTACTAGACAAAATTAAAAAACATTTACCATTTTCTTCTGGTATGAAGTTGTACCAAGGAAATTTATTTTCTGATATTTGTTATCTGTTAAAAAACAAACCAGTAAGCTTCAAAAAGTCTGAATTCTTCAAGTGCAATTTTGTGTCAGTACTTGCAACAGTACAGTATGAGGTTTTCCTAAGATGTGGGTTGGGTATAAAGACAGGCAGTTACAAGGTTCCTTTAAAAATGAATAATCACTCCAGAGAACTAAGAAATAATATGAAGCAGTTCTGTTGGCACTTTCAAAGCCCTTTATCATGGGCTTTAAGTTGTCCTGAATATCAGAAGAGAGAAAACAGACAAGCCTCAGCTCCAATTCTCTTCTAGAGTGAGCTGACCTAATGACAGTTATGTGTGGTCAAACTAATTTACTGGTCTACAAAGAATTCCAATGCCAGGCTATAAAGGGAAAAAAATCAGAGTTCTCCCAGTTCTTTCACAAAAACAATGAGATGTCTCTACCCGGTCKTAAGCAAAGGTCTCACACACGTTACAAACAGCCAAGCAACTTCCCAGAACAGAAGGAAAAGATGATGGCACAAAGCAGAACTCATTTCACCTCCAGGGCTGGGGTTAAAACCCAGGACCTCACATATAGGCTAGGCAAGCACTATACCACCAAGCTATATCCCCAGCTCCCAAAACCTATTTCTTTTTTTTTTATGGACCTTTTAATATATTTTTATGGACCTTTTAATATATATTTTTTAATTTTCTATGGACCTTTATTTATTTTTTACTTATATACAGTGCTGAAAATCGAATCCAGTTCCTCACACATGTGAGGTAAGCACTCTGTCACTGAGCCACAACCCCAGCCCAGAACCTATTTCTTAAATAGCAAGTGTGGTGTAGAGATTAGAATTCCACTGGATTCCTGTAACTTCTCAATGATAACTCAATGAACTTAGAACTAATTTTTTTATTTGTTCTTTTTAGTTATATATGACAGTGGAATGTGTTTTGATGTATAAAACATATAGAATTTTTTTTAAATGTCAAAAAATTTTATAGAAACACTAAAAAATCAATAGTTTCCAGAAAGAGGGATGGATGAACAGAGCACAGATGATTTTTATGACAGTGAAACTATTCCATGACACTATAATGGTGGATACATTTGTCAAAATTCACAGAGTATGCAGCATCAACAATTAACCCTAAGGTAAACTATGAAATTGAGTGATAATGATGTCAGTGTGGGTTAATCCACTGTAACAAATGTACCGCTCCATGGAGAATGTTGATAGTGGGATGTTATGCATGTGTGGGGGTAGGGAGTGTGCAGGAACTCTCTGAACTCACAATTTGCTGTGAATTTAAAAAACTGTTCTAAAAAATGAAATATACCTTTTTAAAAAATGAAAGGAAAAAGAACTGGAAGCCCAGTTCCATGGAATACTAGCTTATAAAAGTGGACTGGTTACTTCACCTATTTAATTCTCAACTTCCTCAACTATAAATGGGCATAATTAGTTACTTCCTTATAGAGATTTTAGTGAGGATTAAGTAGAAAATGCTTAGAGCTTTTAGCATAGTACTTTGCATATAGGATTTACTAATGTTATTGTCACTCTTGTTCTTATCATTAGCTGAATCTTTATGATACAACTAGGACATTTTAATTTGTGAAATAAGCTCTGTAATGAGGTGGTGGAGACGCTAAACTAGATATGGCAAAATTGGTCAAAAGTAGGGCCAAACTTGGAGACTGAGAGCCTGGTGGTGTAGCAACAGAAAGGATTCCAGGCATGCCAAGGAAAGAGGCCAGAAGCCACAGGCCCAAAGTAGGAGCTGCCAGTTATATGGAGCAGGGGCTGAGTTTAATTACAAGCCCAGAGATGAGAAAAGCACCATGAAGAGCAACATGACCAGTAGGCTTCCCCACCTGGTCTCTGCATTTCAATTGTTCAATACAATTCAACACTCCCCTTAAACTCTTCTCCACATTTATGTGCTATTTTATTACCATCTAGTTCCTCCTTTGCCTCCCATTCCTCAAAAGAAGTACTTCCCAGGCCTAGTGCTCAGCACTTCTCTCTCCACTATTTTAGAAAGAAGCTAAAAATTAAATTTGTCTTTTCTCARTGAGGGCTCTACTGGTGCCTGAACAATTCTTTGTGGAATAGGGCTGTCCAGTACATTATAAGAACACTTAATATCTGTAGCTTCCACCCACCTTACCTTCCCATAACTCTGATGCCCATAACATTTCAAAGGCCCCTTTGGAGGGCAGTATTAATCCCAAATGGAAACCCCTGGACTTGATTGCAAAGTTTCCATGTGCTACGTGCAGGAATTTAGACAAATTCCCTGTACGTGAGACACTAAAGGACGACTCTCAGCCTCATGATTCTGTTTTAGAATGTGCTCCTTAGTGGCAGTGTGGGGCATGGGACTAAAAGCAGGTAGTCCAAAGACAAGAGCTCTAGTTATCTGGTGGAACGGTGAGTCCCTGATCTCCTGTAGCAGTGTCAGATGACAGCACATGAGAACTCACAAGATGCTGAACAGGGACAGGTATGGACAGAAGACTTTGGGCTCCCCTAATTTGAACCTGCTGAGTTAGCTGCAAGTACCCATGCAATACAATATCAAGTTAGAAAAAGACATGAATGTAATTAGAACTTAAAAGAGTCTGAGCTGAGAGTACAGATGTGGAATGAGTTACCCAGAGATAGAGGTCCTGAGACCCATGGGATGCTCAAGAGGAATTGGAGGAATGGACATAAACAAGAAACTGATGAAAGAATCCTGGGAAATAAGGGTTAGTACCAAGACTAGAGAAGAAAAGTCCTCAACAGAGATTGGTTAAAAAAAAAAAAGGAGAATCACTGGAAGACAAGTCAGAAATTCCATCAAATCGGTTAGGGAAAAGTATTACGAATAGAGGACTGTGCAATGTTCCAGAGTACCTAGTAAGATTAGTTTCTCAGCCTTTGCACTACTGACACTTTGGGCTGGGTAATTCCTTGTGTGGAAGCCATCCTGAGAATTTTTAATATGTTCTAAGTAACATTCCTACCCATAGCTGCCAGTAATACTCCATTTGTGACACCCAAAACATCTCCAGACACTTCCAGATATCCCCTAGGAAGCAACATCATCCTTGGTTGAGAACTATTGGATAAGATAAGCCTGAAATGTCCTTGCAGAAATAAGCAGTGAGTTGGGCACTGCCACCTTAGTGAGGACAATCCAGTGGCATGATGGTGGTGAGGCCAGAGGCAGACAGTGAGCCACTGATGGCGAGGTGAAAAGGTAGAAATATATGCAGATGTCTCTTCAAGAAACTCTTTCAGAAGTATAACTGTAGAGGGAAGAAAAGAGAATGGGCAGAGGACAGAGAAGAGCAAATGCTGAGACCTAAGCATGGTCAGGCACTGGGGGAATAAATGTCAACAATTCAGGACAGCTTGACAAGACAGAAGCAGGAACAAACACTATGATTCCCCTACTCAAAAACCTTCACAACCTCACCACTGCTCACTTAATAACCACTACATTCCACCAAATGCATCAGCACAGGCAGGAGGACCCCACAAAGCCTGTGTGACTACTAGCTATGACTATCTGTGTGTTACAGTTATTCCCTTTAGTAYGCAATTCCAGGGTCTTGGCAAAATAGCCGACTTGTATACTTCCATGTATCTGATTACTGTAGCTTCCCCACCTAGGTTCTAGGTGTGCACAATTCTTAATCTTCATCTGTTCAAATCCTGTTTTGTCTAGGACAGCAATTCACATTATTAAACAGTACCATTTATGATCCATGAGCCCTTGGACAAGTACTTAACTTTTACGTCAGTTTCCTCTGTATAAAATGCAAATAACAGAACATACCATAAACTGTACAAGGATGAACAAAAACTAATACACACAGTGCTTAGAACAGGTCCTGGATGCCTATTAAACATCCACTCTTCCTCCCACTCCAGGGATCAATGCAGACACCAGGACTTTCCTCCCTGTGCCACCGGACTCCTCTCAGCATGGTATGGTCTTAATCTTACCGGAGTCTATCACTGTGGTCCTGCCAGATGACAACTCAGGAGAGAACACTCATCTTTGAGTTCCTGAGACCACTGGGCCCAGGCCTTTTACAAAGTCAAGGCTGAATAAAGTTGCATTAAAGACACTATACATAAGACTCACACCTGACAAGAGGAGCAGAGGAAGGGAGAGATCTATAATCCCAGAAGAGACCTGAATATACTAAAGCACAGTGAAAAAAAAGTAGAAGAGTGGTTTGAAATGCCGAGAAAATTAACTGCAGTCACCTGGGCTGTGACCTTTAGTGTCCTTTAAAATGTTAATTAGTCAATTAAATAAAGTTCAGTCACTTTTATCTTCAATCCTCCAGAGGAACAGACTTGTAGGGAATGTCTCCAAAATGAAATAGCAATAACCAAAATATATTAACCCAGGCTAATAAACTCAAATGAAAAGATGGCCTAACTATACCCTTACATTCACAATATTCAAATTGCATAATTCTGAGATTTACTTGACATTTCTTTAAAAAATATAGACTAAGGTAGACTAAGAACGAAAAATCTTATTTATATTTCAAATCAGCAGAAAATGTATCATTTAAGCAATACTAAGCACCTCCTACACACCATGCCTTTGGAGCTGGAAAGATATGGCAAATTGTGCTAGTAGCTCTAACAAAAGTACATGCAGGCAACACAGAGAAGGTACCACAGTCCTGCCCACATCTGTCTAACAACACTGTCTATAATCATCACCACCATTCTCATGTGCTTTCTACCTTCCAAAACTCTACAGAGGGCCCTACTATGGTTTGCACATGGTTGAGTGCCCAAAGACTCATA